ATGATGGTAGGATTGCTGGTTTCTTTTTCTGTCTCATAAACACGCTAAGATAACAGGGATATCTTGCTACTCCTACTTACACTTTGGTCACACTTCACAGACACGCACATGCATATATATATATACATACATCTAGGTTTTTCTCCTTTTTCTAAATAGCTCTTGTTCTTTTTTATTTCTTCTATTGTCCATGGGGAAGTGGAAAAGAATCTTTCCTCCGTAAGCCATGCGTGTCGTATGAGGCGACTAAAATGCCGGGAGCAATGGGCTAGTAACCCCTTCTCCTGTATACAATTACTAAAAAAGAGAAGAAGAAAAACTTTATAAAACTGGGTTGCTTAAATGTGCGTGGATGTAGTGCGGATGACAAGAAACAGATGATTGCTGATGTTATGAATGAAAAGAAGTTGGATGTCCTGGCCCTAAGCGAAACAAAGCTGAAGGGGGTAGGAGAGTTTCAGTGGGGGAAATAAATGGGATTAAATCTGGAGTATCTGAGAGAGTTAGAGCAAAGGAAGGGGTAGCAGTAATGTTAAATGATCAGTTATGGAAGGAGAAAAGAGAATATGAATGTGTAAATTCAAGAATTATGTGGATTAAAGTAAAGGTTGGATGCGAGAAGTGGGTCATAATAAGTGTGTATGCACCTGGAGAAGAGAGGAATGCAGAGGAGAGAGAGAGATTTTGGGAGATGTTAAGTGAATGTATAGGAGCCTTTGAACCAAGTGAGAGAGTAATTGTGGTAGGGGACTTGAATGCTAAAGTAGGAGAAACTTTTAGAGAGGGTGTGGTAGGTAAGTTTGGGGTGCCAGGTGTAAATGATAATGGGAGCCCTTTGATTGAACTTTGTATAGAAAGGGGTTTAGTTATAGGTAATACATATTTTAAGAAAAAGAGGATAAATAAGTATACACGATATGATGTAGGGCGAAATGACAGTAGTTTGTTGGATTATGTATTGGTAGATAAAAGACTGTTGAGTAGACTTCAGGATGTACATGTTTATAGAGGGGCCACAGATATATCAGATCACTTTCTAGTTGTAGCTACACTGAGAGTAAAAGGTAGATGGGATACAAGGAGAATAGAAGCATCAGGGAAGAGAGAGGTGAAGGTTTATAAACTAAAAGAGGAGGCAGTTAGGGTAAGATATAAACAGCTATTGGAGGATAGATGGGCTAATGAGAGCATAGGCAATGGGGTCGAAGAGGTATGGGGTAGGTTTAAAAATGTAGTGTTAGAGTGTTCAGCAGAAGTTTGTGGTTACAGGAAAGTGGGTGCAGGAGGGAAGAGGAGCGATTGGTGGAATGATGATGTAAAGAGAGTAGTAAGGGAGAAAAAGTTAGCATATGAGAAGTTTTTACAAAGTAGAAGTGATGCAAGGAGGGAAGAGTATATGGAGAAAAAGAGAGAAGTTAAGAGAGTGGTGAAGCAATGTAAAAAGAGAGCAAATGAGAGAGTGGGTGAGATGTTATCAACAAATTTTGTTGAAAATAAGAAAAAGTTTTGGAGTGAGATTAACAAGTTAAGAAAGCCTAGAGAACAAATGGATTTGTCAGTTAAAAATAGGAGAGGAGAGTTATTAAATGGAGAGTTAGAGGTATTGGGAAGATGGAAGGAATATTTTGAGGAATTGTTAAATGTTGATGAAGATAGGGAAGCTGTGATTTCGTGTATAGGGCAAGGAGGAATAACATCTTGTAGGAGTGAGGAAGAGCCAGTTGTGAGTGTGGGGGAAGTTCGTGAGGCAGTAGGTAAAATGAAAGGGGGTAAGGCAGCCGGGATTGATGGGATAAAGATAGAAATGTTAAAAGCAGGTGGGGATATAGTTTTGGAGTGGTTGGTGCAATTATTTAATAAATGTATGGAAGAGGGTAAGGTACCTAGGGATTGGCAGAGAGCATGCATAGTTCCTTTGTATAAAGGCAAAGGGGATAAAAGAGAGTGCAAAAATTATAGGGGGATAAGTCTGTTGAGTGTACCTGGTAAAGTGTATGGTAGAGTTATAATTGAAAGAATTAAGAGTAAGACGGAGAATAGGATAGCAGATGAACAAGGAGGCTTTAGGAAAGGTAGGGGGTGTGTGGACCAGGTGTTTACAGTGAAACATATAAGTGAACAGTATTTAGATAAGGCTAAAGAGGTCTTTGTGGCATTTATGGATTTGGAAAAGGCGTTATGACAGGGTGGATAGGGGGGCAATGTGGCAGATGTTGCAAGTGTATGGTGTAGGAGGTAGGTTACTGAAAGCAGTGAAGAGTTTTTACGAGGATAGTGAGGCTCAAGTTAGAGTATGTAGGAAAGAGGGAAATTTTTTCCCAGTAAAAGTAGGCCTTAGACAAGGATGTGTGATGTCACCGTGGTTGTTTAATATATTTATAGATGGGGTTGTAAGAGAAGTAAATGCGAGGGTCTTGGCAAGAGGCGTGGAGTTAAAAGATAAAGAATCACACACAAAGTGGGAGTTGTCACAGCTGCTCTTTGCTGATGACACTGTGCTCTTGGGAGATTCTGAAGAGAAGTTGCAGAGATTGGTGGATGAATTTGGTAGGGTGTGCAAAAGAAGAAAATTAAAGGTGAATACAGGAAAGAGTAAGGTTATGAGGATAACAAAAAGATTAGGTGATGAAAGATTGAATATCAGATTGGAGGGAGAGAGTATGGAGGAGGTGAACGTATTCAGATATTTGGGAGTGGACGTGTCAGCGGATGGGTCTATGAAAGATGAGGTGAATCATAGAATTGATGAGGGAAAAAGAGTGAGTGGTGCACTTAGGAGTCTGTGGAGACAAAGAACTTTGTCCTTGGAGGCAAAGAGGGGAATGTATGAGAGTAAGTTTTACCAACGCTCTTATATGGTGTGTGAAGCGTGGGTGATGAATGTTGCAGCGAGGAGAAGGCTGGAGGCAGTGGAGATGTCATGTCTGAGGGCAATGTGTGGTGTGAATATAATGCAGAGAATTCGTAGTTTGGAAGTTAGGAGGAGGTGCGGGATTACCAAAACTGTTGTCCAGAGGGCTGAGGAAGGGTTGTTGAGGTGGTTCGGACATGTAGAGAGAATGGAGCGAAACAGAATGACTTCAAGAGTGTATCAGTCTGTAGTGGAAGGAAGGCGGGGTAGGGTCGGCCTAGGAAGGGTTGGAGGGAGGGGGTAAAGGAGGTTTTGTTGTGCGAGGGGCTTGGACTTCCAGCAGGCATGCGTGAGCGTGTTTGATAGGAGTGAATGGAGACAAATGGTTTTTAATACTTGACGTGCTGTTGGAGTGTGAGCAAAGTAACATTTATGAAGGGATTCAGGGAAACCGGCAGGCCGGACTTGAGTCCTGGAGATGGGAAGTACAGTGCCTGCACTCTGAAGGAGGGGTGTTAATGTTGCAGTTTAAAAACTGTAGTGTAAAGCACCCTTCTGGCAAGACAGTGATGGAGTGAATGATGGTGAAAGTTTTTCTTTTTCGGGCCACCCTGCCTTGGTGGGAATCGGCCGGTGTGATAATAAAAAAAAAAAAAAAAAAATATAAAAAATTGAAGTGAAATTTCCATTCACATTTCTTGTGGGTTTCTGGGTATTTATCAAACTAAGGTTGTAGTAGAATTTAACTGCTGGCCCTGCACCTTATCCTTCAACTTACTAGTGTAGCTGGTTCTAAGCATTTTATCAAGTTTTTTTTTTTTTCCTTCAAAATTTAATCATACGGTAGGTTTCTATTTTTAGCCCTGAAGCAATGTAACCCATTTACTGCCCTAAGCCCCACTGTCCACATTAAAAATATGGAAATAGAAGGGAATCTCTTTCTGAAGATAATGACACCAAACTAAAAAATACAATGGAAAACTTGCAAAACTATACAGGCAAATTCAGAGGTCTGTGTGCAATTTACACATTGGCAATTTTGCCCACAATTTTATTTTAGCCAATTTCAATGCTCAATTCAATCAAATTCTTAGCTATTTTGCTAGGATGCCTTCTGTTCTGTCAACTGGATGCACAAAACCACCCATTCAACTATCAAACAATGCACAGACTGGTAATTTGGCCAATTTAACAAAAAATTACAAAACATTCAATTTAAACACAGTCCAAAATAAACAGACATAGGCACTTAAACATTTCCTCTGTTCATTAATCATTTTTTTTTTCTTCCAACAAGTCGGCCGTCTCCCACCGAGGCAGGGTGACCCAAAAAAGAAAGAAAATCCCCAAAAAGAAAATACTTTCATCATCATTCAACACTTTCACCACACTCACACATTATCACTGTTTTTGCAGAGGTGCTCAGAATACAACAGTTTAGAACCATACACATATAAAGATACACAACATATCCCTCCAAACTGCCAATATCCCAAACCCCTCCTTTAAAGTGCAGGCATTGTACTTCCATTAATCATGTCCCCATTAATCATGTCCTTCCATTTTTAATTCATCGCACAAAAAAATTGAAGATTTATCCTACTCAGATAATATAACATAACCAGAAATGATTTACAGTATCCCAATAATTGACCTAGTAAAAACCCATAAAACTGACGGAGTTGTAAGGGCCTCACCCGTCCTCAGGAAAATCTGTAAAAAATAAAACATTTCTGCTATTTTGAGACCAATTTCAAGTTGCTGCTGGTCCTGAAGCCAACCAAAATCACATGATTCAGAAATATGTCTTCCATTCTATTAAATGATACCAAAAAGAAAAAAAAAATCACATTATTCAGTAAGTTAGAGTGAGATGTAGATGGGGTGCAAGGAGAATATCATCAATGAGTAAGAGAAGGGGAAGTTTGTTAATTAGAGATAAGTAGGGTAATATATAAACAACTACTAGGAAGATAGGCGAGCTAGAGAAAAGGTAAGAGATCAAAGTAGTATGGGGTAGATTTAAGAAAGCAGTGAAGTGTGCAGCAGAAATAACCTGTAACTGTACAGTATATGATATACCAATTAAAAAATTGGCTACCCTGTTATGCTCTTAATTAAGGAAACAAGTTAAAACTATGCTACCTACTTGTGCTTACGACGTTCACGCGAGCGAGACCGGCTGCGTTTCTTACGGTCTCTATCCTTGTCTTTATCCCGATCTTTATCACGGTCTTTTTCTTTATCCCGATCTTTTTCTTTCTTCTCATCTCGCTCTGAAATAAATGCATTAACATATGAAGGCTAATAAAAAACTGAAAAAGTCATTCTAGGATAGAAAACATATTATAGATGGATGAAGCAATGAACTATAAACAATACCTCCCATCTTGAGATGCCAAGAAGTCCTATTTTAAAATGTAACCAACACTGTTTAATTCTCAAAAGCAAAAGCTTGCAAAAGATTACTTTTCACTCACTTGTCTAATATAATGCTGTACCTGTAACAAACATATAGCCAGGTTCATGCCTTTCTACTGTCACAGGTACACTATATGTATTGTACGGGCTTTCCGAAGAGGAGTGGGATCATGGGATAAGTAGTTTCTCATGAGTAATTTGAAAACTGTAGAATTATTGTAGTCGGTAATTTTGATTTATCTGTATAGTCTGCTCTTGCAGCATGGCCTGAGGAAAACCAATTATAGTAATACAGTGAATATAAGTCTGTAAAATTATAAAAAAAAAAATTATTATTTAACCTGCTGTAAATGCAGATGATTCAGTTATGATAATGAATCCAATCAGCTGTTTCTTTCGGTCCACTAAGAGTATTATATATATATATACACACACACATACATCAATGCTCTTAAGAATGCTTTGCTTGTCTGCTATAAGGATATACAGTACGGTAATTGCATTTTCTACTCAACAGTAAGGACTAGTAACTAAGGTTATTTAGGTACAGGTATACATAAGTATACGAGTTTGATCCCCGCCCGTGGTATGGTTTGTTTCTAATTGTGTCATTATGATTTCATGAGTCAAGTACAATCATTATACATAGCAACATATAAATTATCTAAGATAAGAAGTTTTGTTCAGATTTTTAACCCAAGAAAGTCAGTGCCTCATTGAGAACCATCTTATTTCCATTGGGGGTCCTTCAAACCATGAAGCCACCCACACCAGTTAACTAACACCTAGTACCTACTTACTGCTAGTTGAACAGGGACAGCAGGTGTAAGGAAACATGCCCAATTTTTTACCCATGCTGGGAATTGAACCACTGAACCATGGCCACTCGGCATATGAGGCAAGAGAGTTGCCAACCCATGCACAGGCCAAATACCCCAAAAAATGTCACCCAAAACGACTTATTCCTTCCTTTTTGGGCTGCTTGCCAGTGCACTTTCTGACATTATCAGTACAGTACTGTATAACTGTATTAATACAGTAAATGGAGTTGTTCTTTTCATAATATTGCAGGGACAAATATTATTGATCAAGAAATGATGAGGGAACACCTGATACTTCATCAGTCTTGTATATCTGAATAAACATTTCAAGTGTACTAAGAGATGCTGACTGCAGTTAGTAATATGAGTTGGGAATACTATCACAGTAAGTTTATCTAGGTATAGGTATGAATTCACATGAATGGATCTTCCTGGATTTCCTGCTCTTTCTGCAATGCTGAAAGCTCCTGATGTGTTGATTGCAATAAAAAAGGCCTAGAGGTCTCATTCAACTCCCCCTGTAGCTATTTTTGCATCTTCTGTTGCTCGTTCACGATTACTGCATAATATACAAGTACAATTACCATACAGTGTGAATTACCTGGGATAACCCTGTCTGTTCAGCTATTTTATGATTATTATTATTATAATCAAGGGGAAGCGCTAAACCCGGAGGATTATACAGTGCCTGGGGGGGGGGGATGTGGAAGGCATTCAGGCTTAATTCAGGGAACTGGAGCACAGATCCAATTCCCTAAATCAAGAGCCCCTCACCAACATCAAGGAACCTTCCTTGACGGGAGCTATTTTATGAGACACTGGAGCCCAAGAGAAATTCCAAAGCCACTCACAATTTAAGTCACATATATACATCGTGATTATGAAATACTGTACATTACACACTAATGGAATTCCTGCAGCGCTGTGTGACCCTTGTGGGTTTAGTGCAGTTTTAATGCAGTATTACAAACTCTCAAGGGTCATACAGTTCGACTGTAATAACATCAGTGGAATCGCAAAATTGCTTTTACTTAAGGGAGCGCTAAACCCATAGGGGGTCATTCAGCCCCTTGGGTGTGGGGGGGGGGGAAATGGCAGCAATCATGCTTGATGGGAGGACGGGAAGGACAGGTTCAACTCCTGGGATAAAGATGAGGGAGGCAGCATGAAGGAAGGTGGTGCAGGAGGATGCTGCTGGATCACACTAACACCACTTTAATGGCGCCGCCATCTCCACCCTTACTCGTTATTTACCTTTACTACTATGCATATTAACCAAATTTTAATAATGGCTGTAAAATACTCTCACGAATTACTTACATAAAAATATACACATGCTCATCGTCTGGAAGAAATCAGTGACTAATGAGTCAAAATTGTCTGTATTGTCAGCCATCACGGGAACAACTAGTTGTCTTAGGTTATTAACTTACTCTTACCTTTCTCAGGCTTCTCCTTCTCCCTGTCCTCTCCCATGTTTCCCGTTTATCTTCTCCTACTAAAACCTGTCCTTACTTTAACATACAACGCTCAGCATAGATACAATAATATGGAGTCCAAGTCTTCTTGCCACAGAGTCCATATCCAAGATGGCCGTAACCCCTAGGTACATCTCTGAAATCTGCGCTTTCTGATTGGTCAGACGCCTGAATCAACTGGTCACTCATTGGCTATGTGTCTTTCTAAACTGATTGCTGATTAGCCGGCGTGACATGCAACCCCGCGTCTGATTAGTCCTTCACACCATACTGAGGCGGACAATTCAAACTATTCTCTGTAATATACTAAATTACAAGTGTTGCTCTCTACAGTGAACCTGCCTGGACTTTCCACTCATTTCTGCAACATTGCAAGCTCCTGATGAAGCGTTGATTGCAACACGAAAGGCCTAGAGCTATCATTCAGCTCCCCATGTGCCTGTTTTGCATCTTATATTGCTCGATCGCGATTTTTTATAATAATAAAATATAACAATAATATAGAAAATAAAAAAATAAAAATAATAATAAAGATGTGTTTGAACAAGGAATATTATTGTCATGACTCACATTAAGGTTAGGCAGGTGCCCCGGGGCCTGGTAGCAACAGCTCCCACTTCACACTGTAAGGGTACGGGTTCGATTCCCGGCGAAGGGCTAGAAACATTGGGCGTGGTTCCTTACACCGGTTGTCTATGTTCCCTATCAGTAAAATAGGTACTCACTTATGCTCTGCATAACAAGCGGTTTTGCATATAGTAGTATGTCACTGATGTCAGCTATGGCCTGCATACCCTGTACATGTACTGGTAGTAAATAAAAAATATTATTATTATTATTATTATTATTATTATTATTATTATTATTATTATTATTATTATTATTATTATTATTATTATTATTATTATCTACACCAGGGGTTCTTAACCGGGGGTACTCAATACCCCTGGGGGTGTGGCAACCAAATAATGGGGGTGTGAGAACCAAATAATGGGGGTGTGAGAGCCAACAAATGGGGGGGAGCCAACAAATGAGGGTATGGGAGCCAAATAATGAGGGTATGGGAGCCAACAAATGAGGGTATGGGAGCCAAATAATGAGGGTATGGGAGCCAACAAATGAGGGTATGGGAGCCAAATAATGAGGGTATGGGAGCCAACAAATGAGGGTATGGGAGCCAAATAATGAGGGTATGGGAGCCAACAAATGAGGGTATGGGAGCCAAATAATGAGGGTATGGGAGCCAAATAATGAGGGTATGGGAGCCAAATAATGAGGGTATGGGAGCCAAATAATGAGGGTATGGGAGCCAAATAATGAGGGTATGGGAGCCAAATAATGAGGGTATGGGAGCCAAATAATGAGGGTATGGGACTCGATCTCTGAACAATTTAAAAAAAAGTTGTTGTTAAATTAGAATAAACCATCAGCTGTTCTGTTGCTGACAGTCCTTATGTAAAGTAAAACCAACCTATTGACATCTTATGATGTCACTCTGGTACCTAACAGAACTGGTGATGAACCATGCTATTGACATCTTATGAAGTCACTCTGGTACCTAACAGAACTGGTGATGAACCATGCTATTGACATCTTATGATGTCACTCTGGTACCTAACAGAACTGGTGATGAACCATGCTATTGACATCTTATGAAGTCACTCTGGTACCTAACAGAACTGGTGATGAACCATGCTATTGACATCTTATGAAGTCACTCTGGTACCTAACAGAACTGGTGATGAACCATGCTATTGACATCTTATGAAGTCACTCTGGTACCTAACAGAACTGGTGATGAACCATGCTATTGACATCTTATGAAGTCACTCTGGTACCTAACAGAACTGGTGATGAACCAACCTATTGACATCTTATGAAGTCTTCCTGGTACCTAACAGGTCTGGTGATGATGGCGATAGTTTCAACAGTCTGGTGAAGGTGATATGGGGATATATTGGGCAGTCCATTGGGGTCTGTCATCGTAGACAGGTTACGAACCCCTGGTCTAGGCTAAGGAAATGATAAAGCTTAATAGGCCTCCTCCCCGACAGAAAGACGCAGTCCGCAGGATCCAGTAGCGTGATGGGTCTCGGCTGGGTATGTAACCAGATACAAGTGTCTTGTCTTCGAGGTCCCACTAGAAAAAATAAGAAAAGAACTTCATTTGTACTTCACTGACTCGAGACTGAAGGAGAGTGGCACCAGTCAGTCCATCTATTTTCATTCTATCATGCGAGAGGAGCCACATGTCTATGGTGCGTCCAGTGAAATCAGCAGAGTCATAGATGTAACAACAGCCCGGCTCCGGCTGGTCTAAGAGTATCTTTGTCAGGTTGCATCACCAGTTGATGCAGACATAGCCAAGTGTAAACTTTGCCAGATGGACTATTGTCTCATCTTGCGCCATTATGTGCTGGAATGCCAGAAAATTAATGAATTCAGAGATAACTCATTCACGAATGTTCAAAGAATTTTATCCATAGTGGCATCTTACCATTCATTTTAGAAATATACCATGACTTTGTTTATTGGAAATAAATCATAACTAGATAGAATTATTTAAGTTCAAACATAACCTGCTAAAATATTAGATAATATAAATAATTCAAAACTACATATAAACTAGGTTGCATGTTTTCCCTGGCTGAATTCGTGTCTGCATAAAAAACTCATTACGATTGTAACCAGACCATAAATATGTAAATAGCTCATCACCACTAACTTTCTCAGCTATCACAACTTTGAGACTGGTCCTTGGACCCATTTTGTGTCTAATATTTCTCGACTACCACTCACAGGATGGGTATGGGATGCATAACGAAGCTGTTACCAAAACTTAATAACAACAATAATAATGAACATTAAAATGGTATAAAATACCGACAGATTGTTAGGTAAGACACATATGCAACAGTTAGGTATCTTTATTTCGAAACGTTTCGCCTACACAATACCGTGACTGGAACGATACACAGATAACTCGCACGTAGAAGAGAGAAGCTTACGACGACGTTTCGGTCCGACTTGGACCATTTACAAAGTCACACTGTGATTATGTAAATGGTCCAAATAGGACCGAAACGTCGTCGTAAGCTTCTCTCTTCTATGTGCGGGTTATCTGTGTAAGGTACCGACTTTAGGTACTCGTCCAGTGCCTTCTTGAAGACAGCCAGGGGTCTATTGGTAATCCCCCTTATGTATGCTGGGAGGCAGTTGAACAGTGTCGGGCTTTTCTAAGAAAAGATTTTGCCTAACAAATCTAACGAAGATTTTCAACTACATTTACAAACAAAAAAAAAAGGAACAAAATCCCCACAGATGTGATGTTCCTCAACTTTCAGAAACATTCAATAGTATTAACAGGAAAACAAAAACACACTTTATCAAAAAAAGTTTATTAATATGTACATAGTAGTGCGGCTAATAAGCTCAACAATACACATTATTTAAAGGACCATTGTCATAATATACTTTTAACATCACAATGCTTAGTCCTACAATTATGCCAAGAAAGTCCCTTAAGCAATTTGGTTTAAATCCTCGTTGGAAGGACTCAAACACGCCATTAACTCAGTCTGGGGATGATTTATGCCACTCTACATTAAAACATGGCTAATAGTTATTGACCAGCAAGAGTAAGTAGTTTAACATTAAGAATTACTGGTGTTTTTCATAAAATTGAATCACATGCTCTTCTGATTGATTTCAAATTTTGTCATTTCGTCCTCCTAACCTTCAATTGTAAGTGATTTATAAAATGCAGCGGTACGCATATGACTTAAAATTTTAAACATGTAGAAGCTGACGGAATAAATAGACTTCAGGATAATTAGAAAGTCACAAACACCGGACACCATGTCGGTCCAGCCTGGATTTTCAACATGACAATAATTTCCAAGTTGTGATCTTGTGTTCTGTAGTGCAACATTAGTGTTGCTTATATTATTACACCCAAAATCATCACCAAAACAAAAGAAAAACTCGTAAATATGTTTGACTAACACGTTAAAGATGTCAAAAAAACCAAGTGCAAAAATAAGAATGCGTGAATTAGTAAATAATCTATAGATTAATCATTTTATATCCTGTTGACAGAGAGGTGTGGAGACGAAGGTAATTCTCAGCTCCACAAGCACTCGGGGTTCATGGTTTTCTCCTTATTAAACACTACCACCATATGTCTGTACATCTAAAACAAGGCTGCATCGTCCCCTGGGTGTCCACATCATTCTTATCTTTTCTCTTTTGTACCATCGAAAAACAAGAAATAGTTCATGACAACACTAACACTGCTATGTCCTGTTTCCTTAAAAAATTTTTTTTATGTTACCAGCTCAGTAGTTGCCACAAAGCTGTTTTCGTTACTGGGCACGGATAATTAGGTTAGAATTCAGTCCTTTTTTTTCCCTAATGACTAGGGAACCTGCAAGATGAGCCAGGTCAGCACCTACACCAGGTCACGTCGACCTGACTGATACGTTGTGGTGACAGCGTTACCACATATCATGTGTCTTACTAGACACCTCGGCTATAACACCTCGCCTATAACACCACATGCATGTAAGTAAGTAAGCATGTGGTATAGATTCCCGCGTCTACAACACACAGCCAACCACGTTGACCCCCGGAACTCTCTCCAGGTAAACTCCAGGTAAAACACACGCACCGTGCCAGTTGTTTTTCACTGACGAATGTAATAAGAAAATGCACGCTTACCTTACAGTGTCAGCACCACCTCCACAGTGCCAGCACCTTCACAGTGCCAGCACCACCTCCACAGTGCCAGCACCTTCACAGTGCCAGCACCTTCACAGTGCCAACACATTCACAGTGTCAGCGCCTTCACAGTGCCAGCACCTTCACAGTGTCAGCACCTTCATAGTGCCAGCACCTTCACAGTGCCAGCACCTTCGCAGTGCCAGCACCTTTACAGTGCCAGCACCTTAACAGTGTCAGCACTTTCACAGTGCCAGCACCTTTACAGTGCCAGCGCCCTCACAGTGCCAGCACCTTCACAGTGCCAGCACCCTCACAGTGCCAGCACCTTCACAGTGTCAGCACCACCTTCACAGTGCCAGCACCCTCACAGTGCCAGCACCCTCACAGTGCCAGCACCTTCACAGTGCCAGCACCTTCACAGTGCCTGGGATACCAGCTTCCGGGTATAAAATATAACTATTTTTCCATCTTCCACTTAATGGTTTGTTAGGTTTCAAGACTGTCGACTCCACGAAGGTCAATAAGGTTGAATCACAGCTGTACAATAACGGGTAAAAATACTTCCACACCTAAACTTTTCTGACCAATATACACACAAATATACACCTCTCGGTGTACATACACAGACATACACATGTCACTGTATACATTATAGTCTTGGTTTTCTCCTGAGTACTTCCACAGTTTAAGAAAATTCCAAAAAAATTCGATGTAGAAGCACATTATTTCGTTATATTCACTAACAACCACAATTTTACTACATGTAAACCACACAATAACCAAATTTCTGTAAACTCAGCATTGTAATCCTTATAGAGAATAAACTTTGAATTTGAATTTGAATTTGAATTAAAATCTAGTGGTCAGTTCGACATGTGAGACTCAAGGGTAAAATAATAAAAAAATTATGCTGACAAATGGATCATCTTATTCAGCAACATCACAACTGATTTACAATTGACATGATGACATTTCTTCAAGAATGTCAGTTCGTATATTTCGTTTTTTTTATATCAGTGGAGTTGGAAGAAAGAAGCACAGTAGATAAGATTTTCTTCGGATTTTTAACCCCGGAGGGTTATCCACCCAGGATAACCCAAGAAAGGCAGTGAGTCATCAAGGGATTGTCTGTCTTATTTCCATTGTGGTCCTCAATCTTGTCCCCCAGGATGCTACCCACACCAGTCGACTAGCACCCGGGTACCTACTTGCTAGGTGAAAGGGGACAGTAAGTGTAAGGAAACACGCCCAGTGTTTTCACCCTTGCCGGGGATCGAGCCACGGACACTCGTGTGTGAGGCGAGAGCGTTGCTTACCAGACCACGGGACACTTGAGTTGGAATATTAATCCTGGAGGGTTAGGATAAGCCAGGGTAATTTAGGAAAGTCAAGCAGCGTGGCTTATAATTCCATTGAGGTCCTTATGAACGTCCTCCCTGAGGATACAGCAAGTAATCGTAACCTAACTTACATAAATCTATCTACTGCTAGGTAGAAGGGACAACACTTGTTAAGTTACCCATCTTACTCCGAAATTCGGAAGCATTCATTTTCTTTAAATCACCCTTTAAACTCCAGTGACTGTAAAATCTTGAATAAATACTCTAATTCACTGAATCTTAGATTGCTTTATATAAACAGAACTTAAAGTTAGAGCTTAAGAAACTTGCCCATACGTCCCACCTCGTCTGGGGTTCGACCCCAGCATCTGTCAGTTGTGAGCGGAGGGTGACAGTCTGCTTGACCATGGCTGGTGGTGGACACTTTGCCTTTCTTTCCATCACACATTACATACTTTTTTAAGATACAATTCAGTTACATACTTCACTTCCCTGGAATACTCAGTGGAAGAGAGACATTCAGAATCCTCCCTTTCTCCCCATTGTACGTTCTGGCCAACAACGAAAACATAACCAAGAGCAACGAAGCACAAATTTACTTCTGGCAAAAAACAATAGTCACCATTTGCCCGGGTATCATTTATTCAGGCTGTATATGTCAATATTAAGTCGGTGATAGGAATGAAGTAAACCATAGTAGTGTATATACATGAGAGGGAACCCTAACTATCAAATATCTAACAAACAAGACTTTTTTTTCAGTCATATAATCGGAAATTGTCTTGAAAAAAAATGGAGGCCCTCCATGCAAAAAAGGTCTGCACAAGAAAAATATCATGTGTAATATTTTCCAGTAAGAGACAACATACTACTGTGTTCATGCAGTTTCTGTCAAGAAATATTTGAGCAATATTCCTTTATCTCGTGGTTTAATTCAAAGTTAAAATAGAAGTACTACAGAATATTCACTCCTTCATTTGTCTCAATAAGACTCTTGACTAATCAAGAAATACAGCTTCCATGAGAGTCTCTGGGCATGAAGTCTTGAGATCAGACAATAGCCATTCAGTGTATGATGAAATATTATTTCTGCTTTTTGAAGTATCATATCCTATAATATGACTATATAAATAAATAGATACATAAATAAATAAACAAATAACACACACACGAGTTTTATTATCCTGCACTAGAGCCTTCAATACACTGCCGTACAGAAGAGACAAATTTGTAAAGTGAATCTGAAAATCTTTCGAGCAACAATAAGATGAGCTCCTCCCAGACACTAATAACTGCCGCCATCACCCACCTTACTTACAGCTCATTTGAAATTTGCACTGTTATAAATTTAACTACATTTGGTGTACACGCGTTGAGTCCTGGAGGTGGGAAGTACAGTGCCTACACTCTGACGGAGGGGCGGAGATGTGGCAGTTCGGAGGGTCATCTGAACTGTGATGTCAAACACAATTCTGGCAAAACAGTGAGGGAAAGAGTGTTTCACCAAGCAGTACCTCATTGAGAGATTGCCGGTGTGTTAAAAAAATTATTTAATAATTCGTCTCCGTCATACCGAAGCTGCTCATCTGTATTCTTAATATGGTCAAAGAATTTGTGAATGGTTTAACAGAACATCTGTTGTTGTCTGACCCTGTCTCAACATAGGTGAACCTAGATTACAGCTTCCCTGCGCAGATAATCTCACATAGAAAGGAAATGTTAGCAAATATCTATCATCGCGTCAGACTCCACCTAGCAAACTGTCAGCACGACTGAAAACACTAAAGAGTTGATCGAAAGAGCCTGGAAGTGCAGGGAAGGTGGCTCCAGCACGCTGACACAGACACATGACCTCCTCGTTTCACCAGGTGCTGACCTCAGCTCTGACGAATATGACCTCTCTTCCTGGTTCTGTCCCTGAGGGAGACACGAGGCATGACAGGTCTGTGGTCCTGGTGACCGCTGCCTCCACTGCTAAGGTTCATCAATTGGTTGAACATCTTAGAGACGCTAAGCTTGCGCAGCCTAGGAGACGTCTGTCCCTTGAGCTGCGACACCTGGCGCAGCAACCCATCAATGGAGTCGTTCACCTGCGCATTGAATAACTATTTAATATTGGTACAATGAGTAACAATGTGTTAGGTAAAAAGACACACGAGAAAATGAGACATTTATTACTGCTTCGTTTCGCTCTCAACAGGTTATTTCCTCTCATTGTTTGTCACAGTTTTATTAATATCCTAAATTACCTCTAGGAAGTTATTCGAGCTTTATTAATCCAATATTGTTTATATTAGCTTCATAAAATTCCTGATGACGTAGCAATAAGAAAGGTCTTAATATTTTCTCACGTTTCCTGTTACCTAATTATTACATAGCTATGAGAGAAAGTATTTTGAATGAGAGGCACACAGAAAACACATGGATAAAGAGAAGGAATTAAAAAAATAGGCTTTTAAGGCTCACCCTGCCAGCTAGGACTAGAGGTCTCACCCTGCCTCATAGGACTAGAGGACCCACCCTGCCAGCTAGGAATAGAGGTCTCACCCTGCCTCATAGGACCAGAGGACACACCCTGCCAGCTAGGACTAGAGGGCTCACCCTGCCTGCTAGAACTAGAGAGTTCACCCAGTCAGCTAGGACTAGAGGGCACACCCTGCTTGCTAGGGCTAGAGAGGGTTGAGTTACGGTCCAAGATCGTAACCGTTACCGGGTGGCTAGTTTGTTGTGCACCCGCAGCTCATCCTGTGAGCTGTAGCGCAAAATCCAGAAAATTACAGAGGTTACAATGGGTCTCTATCAGGCCCTACCGGACAGAGATGCATCACAAAAATATTATAGTAAATAGATACATGGGTGTTAGCCGACTGTTGTGGGTCATGTCCTAGGGGATTTTAGACTAATTTATCTTAGAAAGGGGTGAATTTGAAAGGAGCTGAGGTAAGATAACAGCTCTTAGCTAGTAAATTGAAATGCGTAAAGGAAAAAAGGCAGCCACATAAGGAAAATGGTCCAGTGAAGATAACTGAGATAGATGATAAACTGACTGGAAGCTAAAGAGAGGTAAAGATTTAAAATAAGAAGGCGGATAGGGAAAACAAAATAAGAAACATAAAATAAAAGTAAGGTGAGGTGAGGAAATAGAAAGGAGTGAAAATGGAAAGACGAAGAAAAACAGATGGAAGCCCAGAGGATCAGGTGTGGCCCCCAGGAAAGAAGAGGAGTCTCCCAAGAATATGTTACTGTGATCTTTAATCTCAGAGACACTCTTGAAACAAACTGGATAAAATACTGACTGTAAAGTATATCAGTTCCTTATATAATGTACGTAATTGTTCCACGCTTTTATAACACTGAAACTGTGCTGGAAAGGTTTCCCTCCCATTCCAGAAAATGAGACAGAATATGGAGTAAGTGTTGTGGTACTTCTAATACAAAACCAATTAGCTTTGAAGAATTGACAAACCTGGAAACAGGGTAAATTATAGATTACATAGCGATAACAATAACAGTTGCAGGGACTAAAACAACAGCAGTTTTAGTAAACAATACTCCACTGAACAACAGTAAAACAAACCAATGTAAACATTAAGTGAGCATGACTTTGAAAAAAGTTGAAGTCCTAGAACATGAAGAGACGGTAATCCAGGATCCCTGATGGCTCAGGTCCCTGATGACCCAGGTCCCTGATGACCCCAGGTTCCTCATAACTCACGCACCTGTGACACCATCTCAGCAGCTGACACCTCGACGAACCTGCAGCCGTACTGGTCAGCTAGTTTCCTGCCCTCACTCTCAGGGACCTGCCAGGGAGGACACTATTAGAATCTGAAGCAAGTAATTGCTTAGTAATAAATTCTATGCTACGATAACAGGTTGCCATATATTGATAAATCACACATTCACAATATACTGTGTGTGTGTGTGTGTGTGTGTGTGTGTGTGTGTGTGTGTGTGTGTGTGTGTGTGTGTGTGTGTGTGTGTGTGTGTGTGTGTGTGTGTGTCAATAGACCCAGGATTACTATTATTACAATCCGGGGGAGTGCTAAACCCGTAGGATTATACAGCGCATGTGGGTGGGGGGATGGAAGGAATTCAGGCTCAATTCAGGGAACCGGAGCAGAGATCCAATTCTCTAGATCAAGAGCCCCTCAGCAGCGTCAAAGAACCTCCCTTGAGGGGAATAGACCCAGGAATCGGAACATAATCCCCTCAAACACATTTAAAGTTTCATAATGGCTGGATAGTTCATTCACCTGATACTAAATATTGAGTATTTAATTATAAACTGTCGGAGCTGGACCCCCTTAAAAAGGCCCTATAGCTCGAGGCCAACCCTCTCAAACACAGCTAAAATTTGAGGTCCTTATGTCAGGCTCTAAAACTTAAGATTTAATTCTTCAAATGCATTTAAGCATATTATTATCGGGGCCCGCAGCTGTAGCTTAACTTTCTTAAGAGGATCAAGAGCTGGAACCCAACCATATCACAATTTTTACTTTTTAGATAAACCAGATGAGTCATTGTAGAGATATTTAATAATCAGTATGTCACTGAAGCCAGGAACGTTCAGTATGGAACCTTCCCACAGTGTCCACAAAACACTGATGCCAAAGATTAGATTTTGCCACCGAAGTGGCTAGTTTATTGTGCACCCCATATCCATCCTGTGGACGGTAGCGCGAGAGCATATGGATACACAAAAGGCCTAGGAACTAGGCCCCAAAGGGTTAACAGGAATACATATGGATTTATATCTGCATATCTATAGTTCACTTATCTGTTACAAGCAAATTTAGGAAATTTGCTTAGTATATCTGGTATCTTATTTTCATTAATAAGATATCTTGACATATCACATAGGTTATTATACTGTCTGTATTCCTCAATAAGTGGACAATTAAGCACATAGAAACACTGCTGCCAAAGAGAGAGAAAACATTGTAAACATCCTGATGAATAATATCTTTTGAGGTGTGGGCACTGGGAGCCACACCTCATGTACACTTGAGGTGTGGGCACTGGGAGCCACACCTCATGTACACTTGAGGTGTAGGCACTGGGAGCCACACCCCATGTACACTTGAGGTGTGGGCACTGGGACCCACACCTCATGTACACTTGAGGTGTGGGCACTGGGAGCCACACCTCATGTACACTTGAGGTGTGGGCACTGGGAGCCACACCTCATGTACACTTGAGGTGTAGGCACTGGGAGCCACACCCCATGTACACTTGAGGTGTGGGCACTGGGACCCACACCTCATGTACACTTGAGGTGTGGGCACTGGGACCCACACCTCATGTACACTTGAGGTGTGGGCACTGGGACCCACACCTCATGTACACTTGAGGTGTGGACACTGGGACCCACACCTCGTGTACACTTGGACAGGTGCGAATCAGTATATATATATATATATATATATATATATATATATATATATATATATATATATATATATATATATATATATATATATATATATATATATATATATATATATATATACTTTAGAGTTTGCTTTAGTCCCCCATAGACTCATTGTTTTTGGATTATTCTTGAATAGTGATGGACAAGCTACTTGCAGCTTGTCCATCACTATTCAGACAATAGGCTTTAGATCACAGGAAAAAATCGCAAATACGAATGATTTACGTATGGAAAAAAAACATTAAAAAAAATTCCAATTTAGCTATCGTGTACCACTAAAGACGCGACCTTTTAACAAGTGATGCTCAGACAGCTGGCCACACACCAGCTGTCAATACCAGCTGATAACAAAGAAACAGAGGAACATAAGATTTAAGAATTTTCAAAGGAATATTAGTCTCGGTGAAAGAAAGAAGTAAAATCCAAGAAACTGATCCTTTAAAACAAATCAGGGAACTGGCCAGTGCGTTAACCACTCTGTTAGAGCACCACCCAAGTGGCTAGCGCACTGGCCTGCGAGTTTCAGGACTCAGTTGCCACGGATTCAAATCCCACTCGTTCCGTCGTTTGTTTGAATTGTGTTATTACGATTTCATGAGTCATGAGACCAACCCTTGTGAATATAACTAGTGAAGGAGCCAAGGATAACAAGGGAAGAACAATAACCTTAGAAGACAGAAGATAAGTAGGGAAGGAGAGGATGATAACTGAGGAAGGATATTAATATTTAATAATTCATGCTAAGCACTAAATCAATGTGGGTTATTTAGCGCAAGAAATGGTGGAGGCTCGATCCTCCGTCTGCTGAGCGCCATACGCGCTGCCTACTTGTACTCTGTAATTGGGGATGGAAACAAGGGAAAACAAAGGGAAGGGTGATAACTAGGGAAGGAGAGGAGGGAGGATAGGTAGAGCGGTGTTGCTGGAGTCACAACCACAGGTAGTTAACATAAACCAGGACTGGCTGGATACCAGCCAATTCTGGTGTACTTCATCCACCTGGTGAGGTACACCAGGTGAGTGAGGTACACCAGGTGGGTGAGATACACCAGGTGGGTGAGGTACACCAGGTGGGTGGGGTACACCAGGTGAGTGGGGTACACCAGGTGGGTGAGGTACACCAGGTGGGTGAGGTACACCAGGTGGGTGAGGTACACCAGGTGGGTGAGGTACACCAGGTGAATGAGGTACACCAGGTGGGTGAGATACACCAGGTGAGGTACACCAGGTGGATGGGGTACACAAGGCGGGTGAGACACCAGGTGAGTGGGGTACACCAGGTGGGGTACATCATATGGGTGAAGTACACCAGGTGGGGTACACGTGGGTGAAGTACACCAGGTGGGGTACACCAGGTGGGTGGGGCACATCAAGTGGGTGAGAGACACCAGGTGGGTGAGATACACCAGGTGGGTGAGGTACACCAGGTGGGTGGGGTACACCAGGTGAGTGGGGTACACCAGGTGGGTGAGGTACACCAGGTGGGTGAGGTACACCAGGTGGGTGAGGTACACCAGGTGGGTGAGGTACACCAGGTGAATGAGGTACACCAGGTGGGTGAGATACACCAGGTGAGGTACACCAGGTGGATGGGGTACACAAGGCGGGTGAGACACCAGGTGAGTGGGGTACACCAGGTGGGGTACATCATATGGGTGAAGTACACCAGGTGGGGTACACGTGGGTGAAGTACACCAGGTGGGGTACACCAGGTGGGTGGGGCACATCAAGTGGGTGAGAGACACCAGGTGGGTGGGGTACACCAGGTGAGTGAGGTACACCAGGTGAGTGGGGTACACCAGGTGAGTGGGGTACACCAGGTGAATGAGGTACACCAGGTGGGTAATGTACACCTAATGAGTAAGGTACACCAGGTGAGTGAGGTACACCAGGTGGGTGAGGTACACTAGGTGGGTGAGGCACACCAGATGAGTGAGGTACACCAGGTGGGTGAGGTACACTAGGTGGGTGAGGCACACCAGATGAGT